AAGAAATAAATATAATATTGCACTAGTGTTGTATTCCTCTCAGTCCTTACAGCGCGGAGCCTGTGTGCAGGTTTACACAGCCGACATATAAAAAGATGGACGACCTGACACCTCTCCGAAAGCGAAGCCAAACCCTCTGTGTCGCCCCCCGGTGGCTGACTGCAGTACAGCTCATAAAGCCTCACCGTTAGCAGAAAGTCAAAGTCAAATAAAGTTTTCCCAAAGATGGTTTCTGTCATTTTAGTTAGTTCTTATGTTCAAGTGTTCATTTTAATTATAAGTTTGGTTTCATCATATTTGAATATAATATTCATAGGTGTGTTTTCATTAGTGTTTAATCACCTGAATATAAGAATATATTACCTTAGAATGAGTTGTTTTTATCTACAGTAGCTGCTTCACCCTACACTACCGCCATGTTGAACCACCATGTTTCTACAGTAGCCCAGAATGGACAAACCAAACACTGGCTGACAGTTAGTTTTGTGGTTTTTGTGAATTTGTCATTCGCACTTCAAAGAGGAGGGTGAAGCGAGGGAGTTGCAACCTGTAAAACTACCACTAGATGCCACTAAAACCAACACACTGGACCTTTAATAAATTAATCTGTAGCTTTAAATGATTTAAAGGTCCCGGATTTTCTGACATCTAGCCCCCCTCCCAAGTGTGAAGGAGAAACTACGGTGGCTGCGAAACGCATAAAAACTACGAATCACTGTAAAAAGTGTGTGTAGATTTTACAGTGAAAAACTATCAAACTATGACACTAAAAGACTGTAAACTCTAAATAAGTTAAATACAGTTTCTGTAACAGTAAGACACAGTTGTATCTTACAGCAAAATCTTTATTCATACAGCATTTTACATGAATTTATATGAAATAAAGTCGTTATTTTTATATTCCAGATTACAAATTGCACAGAAAACAACCGTCAGATTTCATGGCAAACACATTTTTATCCAGTATTTATATGGAAGTTTCATGTGAAAAAACTTTTTGATGGTAAAAACCAAATAAAACTTAAACCGTAAAATCATCCGTTTTAATAGCCTTTTACTGTACAACAGTATTCATTACTGTAACGTTCTGGAAACCACAGCTGGCAGTTTTTTTTACAGTTGTAGTGTTTGGTTTGTCCGTTCTGGGCTACTGTAGAAACAGTTTAATAAATATATATTATTAAACTTAAGAGTTAATATAATATATCTGTGAAAGAGCTGACCTGCTCTGTATGAATAACGCCTCTCTCTCATTATGAACTGACTTTAAATGAGTGAATGAAGTAAACTGTACGCAGACTGCGAGACATCTGTGCAGCTCAACAGTTTGATGTTTGCCAGAAGGTAAGAAAGCACCTTTAATTCAGGGCGCTGTGTTTGTACCCGTTTACACTTCATAAATAAATGAAAAACCAACATGATGATAAAAGTGCTCCAGGATCTAAAATCAGGACTTACAGAGAGAAACAATAAATAACCAGTGCAGTAAATAAGGTAAATGAAACTGAAACCATACTGTAATATATAAATAAACAGGAAATGTCTTCAGTTTTAGTCTCCGTCAGTCAAACAGGAGGAGACGTTGGTGTGTTTCATTATTGAGACTGAACATCTACAGGACTGACTGAGACATATTCTCACAAATATAATGAAAAACTAACTGAAACAAACTCACTCTGGAAACTGAACTGAAATATACACTGACTGATTTACTGTCAGTAAAACAATGACGTTTGTTTATTTCTATAATAACTGAAATCAAAGAAATGGATTCATCATTGAGCTTCAGGCAACACACAGAAACAGATAACATAAAATAAACCAATATACAGTTATTTATATACATATACAAATGATTCAGCAGTGCATTTTGTGAATCCAGGTAACAAATTTACTCCAGTTTATTAAACTTATTGCTGTCTAATAAACAGTTCTGTAATAAACTTCAGTTTATGTTCAGACACAGTTTAAAGCAACGATTCCAACAGATAAATACAAGATTGACAGATTTTATCAGAACATTTAGCAGATGAAACACATCGTTGTGAATCTTTGCTAATCATCTTTTCAGATTCTTTTTGAATATAGATAATGTCGATATTGACTGTAGTGATGGAAGCAGATGGATATTGATGAAGTCCTCAGCAACCTTCAGAGAGCTCTTTTCTATCATTGAGTAAAAGTGACATATTTTATGGATATTTCACATTATATTTAATGCAGGAAGTGTACTACCAGAGATTGGGGTGAATGCTGAGCAGATTATTGATCAGAGATGAGTTTTCCTGATATTTTTAGTGACTTTTTTATACAATTTATTCAAAGTCTGTATTATTTGTATCATTTGTAACAATCATACAGACTTTAATAGACTTATTGATTGACAGATTCAGTGTTTTCAGCTCTTTGGCTGTTTTCTAATGCAGGATGAAGCTGTTTATCACAGACTGAAGACTGTGAATATAACTTGTGTTCAGGTCTTCATTTTTGTTACAAAATATTATAAAACTAGGTTTATTTATATTTAGAGAGAGTCTATTCATCTGAAACAGTTTTTTAATCTTCCACTGTGTCTGAATGTCTCATGCAGCAACTTTTTCTTAAATTCCTCTCATAATGTCTGTTAAAGAAGCTCTCAAGCATTCTTAAAATGTTCTCTATCCTGATAGAAATCCCAGAATTCAGTGAGCATCAACAAAAAAAGAATAAATCATAGATACGAACAGAAAATAGGGAGTTAGTGGTCGAGCCTGAGCAGAGACTCTCACATAAATCTGTCAGCTGATCAATAACGAGACCTGTCTCACTCATTCTGTCCACCAGAGGACGCTGATGGGTTTATTCCACCTGTAAAATGTACACAGTCACAGTTCTTAATAAATCTGACAAATATATTTCATTTATTTTACATCCTAATTGTTGGACATTGATAATCAGCCTCATAAATCCACAGACAGTCAGACTCAGTGGTTAAATAGTTTCACTCTCCTGGAGTACATGTAGTTTGTGTGTTATCATTTCTGTATTTGGGATTATTTAGCAGACATGAACCAGGAAGAGGAGCTGCTGCTGAGACCATCATCATCATCTTCATCATCTTCATCACCCAGCCCACCGCACTGCAGCAGCTCACTGAGGTGAGACAATCCGCTCAGCTCAAACGAGTCCATCGAGCCAATCAGAAAGAAGATTGATCATAAATCAGATCCTCCTTTGGACCTTTATTGTGGCTCCGAATCAGGAGAGAAAAGATGAGATTCTGTGGGATTTGTGCTGTTTAAGTCATGAAAAAATCCAATTTGAGTCACTGCAGTCTGAATGTGGCCTCAGTAGAGTAAACTGCGTCTCAGAGTCTCCGTCGAGTGATTTGTGTTTTTAAATGAAGGAATTTACATCCTGAAAGAAATATTCAGATCCTTTACTGTAACTGACAGAAAAATAACACAGAGTTAAATACTCCACTGCAGTAAAAGTCCTGCATTCAAACTCTTCAGTAAAAGTACAAAAGTAAAAGTCCTCTTTATGGAGCAGAGTGGCTCCTTTCAGTGTTACATTATTATCTAGAACACCGGTTCTCAACCTTTTTCCTTCAGGACGCCTTTTCTGTCATTTAGTTCAAACCTGAACAATGAACCCAAACAGTGAACTCAGTAACTGCAGCAAGTTTGTGAAAAACCAGAGATTTGGATTAATTCTGAGCAGATTATTTCCTGGTACAGAACTTTTTATAGAATTTCTCTATGTATTATGGATTTTTAAAATAATTTTGAACTATCATACTTCTTCGTCTTCTCTTTTGACTAATAGATTGTTCCAGTAGACAGTTTACTAAATGAACCAGATGCTGAGATATCGGTCTGATGTGTGTTAATAAAGTTTTCCAGCACGTTTTAAAATCCAGAGGATCTTGTGATGAAGCTTTGGCATCCTGGTTGGGAACCACTGATCTATTCTATTCTATTCTATTCTATTCTATTATTGGCTGTAAGCAGCATATTACTGTTGTAGATTTCCAATACGGAGCTAAAGTATTTCTAACAACTACAAACTGTTGAACCCATCAGACGTCATTATACTGTAAGTTCATCAGTGTTGTATGTGACTTACAGTAAAAGTACAATTACTCAAATAGTGTACTTCAGTACTAAATTGAGGTTCCTGTACTCTACTTGAGTATTTCCATTTTATTATACTTTAATTAGAAGTACATACTTTTAGGTGCATATATTCAGCAGCCGTAGTTCCGTTATTCTTATGATCAGTATCAGAACAACTCATCAGGTAAATAAAAGATTAGTATTGCTGACATGTTAATGCATTAGAAATAATCAAATATAACGATGATGTAATACTTTAGGTAGTAATATTTCTTAATGTTGCAGGACTTTTTACATCAGTAAATTATCTGATTAATTAGGATCTGCAGAATAACAGCATTAAATAAATGTAGTCCAATAGAAGAACTACACAAGGGAAATACTTGGAGTCCCACCAAAAACTGGAGTTATTCTAGATTGTTCTTATTGTCAATAAATCATCTGTCTGTTAGTACTCAGCCAGTTTAGTGTCACATTAATGTCATTAGTCCTGATATAGTATCATGTAAATAGCATTTTAATTTTTGCAGCTGCTCAAAGTGGAGCTCATTTAAAATGCTTTATGTTAGCAAGTTTAATCTCTAACAATGAATCCTATTGCAAAGTAATAGTGGCATAAATAATATTATAGTAACACAGGTTTGAGATTTACAGCAGCACTACCTGAAAGGTTATTTTAATGAGGTTGGAATATTAGTATGTTTCTAATATTAGTTACTGCAACTCAATTTTAGTGGAAAAAACACTGTTAACGTCAGTTATTGAGCTTGAATATTATTTATTAGGTTAAAATTGAACAAACTAATAAGTACTGGTTTGACCCACAAAAATACAAGTTGTAGTGAAAACAAAAAGTGTTCATTTACAGCTTGAGGACGTTAAAATAACTCAGCCAAAACAAACTCATCATAATAGTTTATTTATTGAAACTAAAAAAAAAGAACAAGCAGGTAATGATGTGACTCGAGCAAACAGAAGTACAGATAAAAATAATGCATTTGAAAAGGTCACTTTTATTATAAAACCCCAAAGATGAATTTAATGAAAGCCCTCTCACACACACACTCACTCACACACACACACACCTGTTTCAGCTACACTACTGCGATCCACAGACGAGCTGCTCGTCCGTCAGGAAATAATTAGTGTTTGTCGGATCCACCAAAGCCCCGCCCCTTAATGACGGGGCCCGCCTGGACTGCGGGTTTCTGAAGGTCAGCACGCGTCGTTTGGTCATGAGGGATGTTAGTGTGTGCGTACCGACGTATTCTGACAGAGACCCCGCCCCCCCCACGAGCATTCAGCAAGACACAAACACAAACGTCTCGTCCACACCCGAAGAAAACCCACAGTGACGCAACAAAAATACGTTTTCTATAATTTCTCAATCGTATGATCTCTCTGTACATGATTCTGAGCAACAGTTAAAGAGGATTAAAATAATACTATGAGCTGTAGTGCAACACTATGGCCCCGTTTCTCTGAGAGTATTGATCGTTTATAGTCAATATAAGCAGAGAGCAGCCTGAGCCCGGCGAGCAGGCTGCGTAGAGGCTCTGCTCTTTGGTGACTAACGCGTGTGAAGCTCTACATGCAGCTCCCGCTCAGCCAGACGCATTCTGCAGCTTTAAAGTGTAACAAGCTCTCTGAGGAGAACGACTCCTCCCTGTCTGCTGCTGCACGGAGGGAGACGGGTGAATCTGAGTGGAGGAGGGATGGAAGAAGGGAGCAAAGGAAAAAGCCAGCGAGGAGACCTGAGGATGTCGAAGCGGTAAGATGAGGTGAAGAAAGAGAAGACCGAAGTGTGAAAAGGAAGTTGTTTTTTTTGTTTTCTTGCACGAGGACGGGGACACGGGGCTCGGGGGGCGTCATCATTGCCGAACCTCCACGTAGTTGGCCGGGAACAGGCCGTAGGCGCCTCTGCACACGCCTCGCCACCAGCCCTCGTCGATCATCTCGATGTTGGTGATGATGTCGTCGGGGTCGAAGGAAATCTCGTCGTCGCCGGCTGAGGCAGAAGAAGAGGTTGGAGCATTAGATGAAGGCTTTTAAAGACCAGTATGAATTCTGTTTGAGGCGAACGAGATCCAGAGACAGAAGCTACTGATCCTGAGTCAGTGCGGCTCTCCATCAGAGGCCAGTGACCACGACAGCCTCACCTGCTTGGTAGTCGTACAGGGCCACCGCCGTCACCCCGAGGTCCTCGCCGTACTCGTACTGCTGGCCGTCTGCAACAAGATCACAGTTTGTTAGTTCCAGTAAAGACTACAGACGTCTCTGGAAGGATCTTCTCTCCAGGTGTTTCTCTTGAACTCTGGGGGGTTTCTGGATTAGTGTTATCCATACTGTCAGTGAGCTAAAGACATCAAAGTTTCTGTTGAAACAGAATACAATTTAACTCTAAAACTATCTGACAGGGACTTTCTACCTTTGTGGACGATAAAGAATAATCTGTTAACAGTCTGTCACTGACTCTTCACAGAGTTTATCCTAATGAGTTCTGTATGGAGCCTAAATGCTGAGAGAGTTTCACCTCCTGTCGCAGCCTCCTCGGGGGTCTGGTACAGCTCCTGCTCCTCCGGCTGTGTGTACTGGTTCTGTGGCTCCGCCGCGTACAGCTGCTCTCCGTTCTCCTCGGCAGTCTCGTAGGTCGGTTCCTCTGTGTTCTAACAAAGATGTTCCATGTTAATGAGTTAACAGCGTCACAGTGAGAGAACAGATGAGTAAAAGCTCCAGTGTGCTTCTGTCCTGTCGGGTTATATTATTGAGGTGGATGTGTGATGACCCAAACATGTTTCCATACAACAGGAATAACAGAAAAGGTTGCTGCTTTTTTTTACTGTAATAATCAATAAAGTTTCCAGCACCTGTGACCTGCTCCTCTGCATAACCAGTTCCCTCGCAATGTTAAAACACTTTAAGTCTTTGTAGCTTTAGAGGGAAACCTCTGTGTTTTTGTGTCTATATGACTAACAGGGACAATATTTGACGTTGGTCCAGTATTGAGACGGCTGCAGTGTAATCCTTACGGGCAAACTGCACGCCGTCAGAGTACGTCCACTAAAAGTGTTTGTTTAGGCGAGTTTAGCGAGTTGGATGTGACAATATTCTGCCTCTACCTGCTGTTTCTCAGCGCTCCTCTCCTGATATTTTCACATTCATTAAAACTCAACAGAGGTTTTAGTCAATGGACGCTGGTTAAACAAACACAATCAGTCTTTAATAAAGCGCTCTCTCAGACAGTCAGCAGGGTCCAGGCTGAACGGTAACCACCCTGTCTCACCTCGTATGTCGGGGCAGCAGCTGGCTGGACCGGTGGAGTCGGGCTGGGGGTGGGACTGGGACTCGCAGCAGGGACGGGGGAGGGGGCCTTGGGCGTGGCTTCGATTTTACGCCGCGCCTCCTCTTGCTCCTGCTTCTCCTTGGCCTGCCGACGCGCCCGCTCCTCCTCGGCCCTCTTCCTGTCCTCCTCCTCCTTCTGCTTGGCGATGTTCTCGAAGCGGGCCTTGATGCTCCCCGTGCTGCTGCCGGCTGCGGAGAGGAACATCGGAGAGTGAAGACACGACGCAGCGAGTTCACGCTACGGTTCAAACACAGCTGACGTTGATGAGAACTCACCGGCCTCCACAGGTTTGGTTTTCTGGTAAGACGGGCTCGGCTTCTCCACCTCATCGAAAGTCCCGGCGCTCTGTGGAACCGGAGAGACACAGAGTGTTTTTATAATGCAAAGAACTGTCCTGAATGTGTTGTTGATGTTTTCTGAAGCCTAGAAGGTACTGGAATAAAACTGTAACATTTGTATCCACACAGAGTGGACAGAGAACACAGCAAACTTAAGATTTGCTGCAGTCAGGTACTCTAGTCACTATATTAACTGTATTTATTCATTATGTAAAACCAGGAGGCGTTGCTGTTTACTCAGGTACAGTGTTGCAGGTGGAGGCTGGGGTTTTTGCCAGTTTAGACCACTATCACTTGTCCCTCTAACTTTTATTTTACAAGAAAAATGGATCCATAATTTCCAGTAAACTCCAAATAGATTGAGAAAACAACTAAATGATTAAAAGTTGGGAGAGTATTTTTTGAACACGGCCGCAGATCTTTACCTGTTCCAGGTGTCGCCTTCGGATGGCGTGACAGGAGTGGAGGGAGTGAAACAGACTGTATGGCTACATTCACACGGCAAACCTCAGCACTCAATTCGGATTTATCAGATTCAGATTAGTTTTTAAATGTGGCCCACATCAGATTCCAGTCTGAACAGGTTTAAGTGACCTGCATGGTAATCTAGAGTAACTTAAAGGTCTCATGAATTCTGATAAGACTGTTCACAACCTGAATCTGGTTTGGACCACATATGAAAGTGAACCAAATCAGAACAGAAAAGATCAGATTGTGTGTGAGTTGTTCACACTGAAAAACAGATCTGATTTGGGCCACTGTGGCCGGCAGTCTGAATGCAGCCTTTGGTTTATTTACAGCAGTCAGCCACAACAGTGTGAATTATACATAAGTGCAACAAAAGGAAGGCAGTGTGATCAGTTTGTTGAACAAGCAGAACACAAACTATCAGACTCTGGCCACTCTGCAAGCACAAACCGGCTACGTGCTACGTGCTACATGCTACGTGATATTTGGTCATTACTGCAACGTTCTTATGGGAGGGTTATTGCTTTTCACTATCTGTGGCATGGTAATGCTTTATTTTAGAGTAAAGAGACAACACACACACACAGACACA